CTGTACAGGCTGGCCACACAATTAATATTTTCTCCTCTAAATTTGAGTTCTAAATAGCAATATTCATAGCCACTTGCAATGTTTAAGTGCAGAAAAACATCTTAATTGATGAAATAACCCACCTTCTTGCAGACTACGTCTTATATCAGGGTGAGCAATCTGAATTCAATTTGCATCTCTGAATACTATTTCTGTACACATGAAATCAATAGTTTAGTATTAATTTTACTTTAATTTCTGAAATCTACAAAACTGCAAAAAACATATTGTCCCTGATCATGTACACAATGTGACCTCACTCACTTCCTTCACTGCCCTGCTTGCAGACAGACAGGCAGGCCTGTAGCCAACAGTTTCCTATCCCTTCTACTTTGCTAGGGAGTTTTCAGAAATAGAATCTTGACACATCTAGAGGGCTCTAAGTTAAGGCTGACTGGGTTTTTCTTAATTGCACTATTTGTTGCAAGCAGATATTCTTATGCATAACAACATTCCTTAATGCTAGTTCTGCTCCACACCTGGGTGTCCAGAGAGGAGAATGGGGGGAAATTACAGAAGATGTGGATATCATCATACAAAGACAGCGATGTATATACTTGTTTCAGACCATGGGGTACAAAAACATAAAATTGACATTTTCATGATGTCACTGCATGCAGAACATCAGTTTTGGCATAGTGCTGGTTTGCTGCATAGGCCACTGCACACATAAGAAATAAGAAATAAGTAGTGGATCACAACTTGCATTCGCCATCACTCTTTGCACATTCAATAAAATTGCCTAAGTGAAAGGAAATATTCTGAGAACTCGGAGAAATATAACTCAATATTTTGGGGGGATCATTGGAGATCATCCAGTGCTACAGTTATTTCCTTGGAAGAGATATGGCTGAAATTTGTTGGCCTTTTTTTTTTTAGCATTTAAGGCAGAAGATATCTACAGACCTCTCACATCCTGGACATAAACTGTTTCAATTCCTCCCTCAGGATGGCACTATAGGGCATTGCATGCCAAAACTAGACACAAAAATAGTTTTTTCCCTCATGCAATCACTCTGTTGAACACCTAATTCTCACAGTGCTGTCTAATGTCTATGCATATTTATCTTTGTAGTATTATTAATTATCCTTATTATCTTCTTTACTACACCCTCTTATTGGTATTATTATGATTATTATTCCGTTGCTTTGCATGTACACTGAGAGTTTCTGCACTGGAGGCAAATTCCTTGTGTGTCTAATCACACTTGGCCAAATGAAATACTCAATTCATTTCAGTTCAGTTCGGTTCAATTCAATGCAATTTTAAAGCTGAGAATGAGAGTGGAAGGTATGCAAATGACAATACACTACTATTCTCACTCTTAAAAAACCCCAAATCTCTCAAAATGATTTAAAAGCACATTTTGTTGACTTTACTCTGTCTGGCTATAGTTTCAGTAAATAAATGTAGTTCTCTAAAATTCAACTATTTTAATCACTGAATATTGATCTCAGGATGCTATTCGTTTGCTGATCTGTGAATTAACAAAACAGGCTAATCTTTTTGCAGATGAACAGGTTATCTGGAAATTGACTAATGTATAGCCACAGAAGTATTGAGGGCTGCATTTTATCCAGTAGCAAAGGAAATATGTTTAGTACCGGAGCATGTACGGTATTTACTGTACATGTGAATCTGCTCAAGCCAGAAGACAAGCAAGCAATCATCCTTGCAATGGCATTGCTGTTGCATGGAACAGATATACTGTGTGTATGCTATATTTTCTTTGTTTAGCTACTACTATTCTGTTTTAAAGAAGTATCACATGCATTCCTCTTAAATAAATTGTCTGGGATCACATTCTGGTAAACTTAGGCAGGATTTAAAATACCACCACTTTACTTAATCTCTTTTCTGAGTAGCTAGGCACTTCTTCAACAAAGCACAAAGCTGCAACCACTCACTATTTTGTTATTTAGATACAGATTCTAATTATTACATTTGAAGTTATTAACCTTTCATGTTACTAAAACTCTATATTTTGATGGGTGATCTTAAATTGGATTATATAATAGGGTTTTTTGGCAATTTCTTTATATATTTTATAAATTGACCTGAGTCTAATCAAAAGGGCATGTCAAAATATTACGATTACTAGTGTTTTTTAAAAATTAAATGTGGTAGGTACACACATTTAAAGTGTAACATATGCCTAATACAACAGCAGCAGCAGTCAACAATTAGCAGTTAGATTAACAATTAGATTAACAATCCAACAATTGGATTAATTACAGAAAGTTAAGATATAAGTGGTCTTCCCTTATTTCTTGCGACAAGCTTGGATTGGGGAGAAAAAAATGGCAGCAAAAAGGGGCAAGTCTGAAATAACTATCTGGGTGGAACAAAAGGTATTGTTGGTATTATTATGATTATTATACTGTTGCTTTGCATGTACACTGAGAGTTTCTGCACCGGAGACAAATTCCTTGTGTGTCTAATCATATTTGGCCAAATGAAATACTCAATTCAGTTCAATTCAGTTTAGTTCAGTTCAATTCAATGCAATTTTAAAGCTGAGAATGAGAGTGGAAGGTATGCAGAAGACAATCCACTACTATTCTCACTCTTAAAATGATTTAAAACATTTCATTGTGATGATACGAGCCAAAATTGAAAATCATCAGTCATTCGGCAGCAAGACTACTTTATGCACAAAAATGGAAGGACTCTTTGATCCCCACAATGGACGAATGGCTGCACAAGTTGATGGAGTTAGCAGAGATGGCTAAATTGACTGCTTTGATAAAAGAAAAAAACATAAGTACTTTTGTTTCCAACTGGAAACAGCTTCTGGACTTTGTGCTTGAGGTGGAAAAAATGATACTTTGATTTTGGGTTTTACTGATTAGATAGTTCTGTTGTTATAGAAATGGCTAGTTTACACTAGTATGTAAAAGTAAAAAAATGAGGTTTGATGTTATTTTCTTGTTCTACTGAACCAAAGGGAGTCAGAAGTCAATGCCTTTTTTTTTCTTTTTTCCCTTTTTCCTCCCCTATTTTTCTTACTATTTGCTTTTGTATTTTTGTATATTATAAACTAATAAAAAATGGAAATGGAAAAAAAATCACTGGTCATTGTAGTAATTCTCAGGTGAGGGAGGAAATGAGGATATGCAGTGACAGAAAACAAAATTTATAGTTTTTCAGGAGTCTGCTATTTCTGAAAAATATTTTATCCTGGATATTTTGTTTTTATAGACACTGGAAAATTCAGCAACCCTTCAGCTCTTACTGCCTACCTCAGAACATGGAAGAAGGATCCAACAATTGATAAAATCTTGCACTTCATCTGCCATGTGCAAGTTTAGGTAGAAATAAACTTCAGTCATCTCTTGAGTAAAAGAAGAGCAATGACTCTGACATAACTTCCATGTATTTAAACTACAGTATAGTATCAGTGGGTAGTCTTTGACTTGCAACCATGAGCTCAAAATTTCTGTTGCTAAGCGAGACAGTTGTGAAGTGAATTTTCCCCATTTTATGACACTTCTTGCCACAGTTGTTAAGTGCTCTGCAGTTGTTGAGTTAGGAACATGGTTGTTAAGCCAATTTGACTTCCCTTGACAGATTACAAAAAGTGATCACATGACCCCGGAACACTACAAAACCGTCATAAATATGAACCAGTTGCCAAGCACCCGCATTTTGATCTTTGGACCACAGGGATGCTGTAGTGATCATAAGTGTGAAAAGTGGTCATAAATCACTTTTTCCAGTGCCAATGTAACTTTGAATGGTCACTAAATGAATGGTTGTAAGTCCAGGACTACCACTTTTGGCTAGATAACCATCAATAACAATAATATAAATTGTTTTTTAAGCATGTGAGACAAAATGGTACTTGTTACTTGTTAGTTTTCTAGACTCTCAATAAAAGCCAGTTTAGTGTGTAGTAATGAAGGCACCAGGCTGAAAACGGAGAAACTCCGAGTTCTACTTAGAATTGCCAGGTGTCCACTATTTGAGTGGACAGTCCACTTTTTTCACATTATGTTCACTATTTTTTTTTCACAAAATAGTGGACATTTTTTTATTCAAAAGCTTTATGATGAAATGGTACGTAATCTAAAGCTGTACAGTCTACTTTTTTTACTACTTAACCACCCCCCCCCCGCTTGTCTACTATTTTTTGGAAGCAGACCTGGCAACCCTAGTTCTACTCCAGTTTTGGATATAAAACCAATTGGAGTTTAGGCCAGTCATTCTCTCTGGGCCTAAGGAAGCAGGCAAGGGCAAATCACTTCTGCAAACCTGGCCAGGAGTAAAGGCTGACTTGATGGCGCTCGGACACACAAAAAAGAATCCTGAAACCGGTCACCTCAGAACCGGTTGCAGGTTTCCAGTCTCAAAATCTTTCTGTAAGCAAAGGGTTTTCTGAAAGGAATAAATCTAAACCGCGGGGCTGTTTTTTTTTCTTTTCTTCCCCACAATAAGGGTTGTCTGGGAGACCTTCTAAGAAGCTGAGCCGGCGACAGGAAAAAAGAGGACAGATTATGCCTGGGAAACAGAAACATAAAAACTACGTTTCTGGCGGGAAAGCCAGAACGGCGAAACCCTCGCAACGACCGAGCTGGCGCAGAGACAGGCGCCGTCCCAGGGTGGCGCGCGGCTCGCCGGCCCGGTGCGCGCGCGCGCGCGCCGGCGCGCTCCCTCCTGCCCCAAAGCTATTGTTTCCTTTCCTGGCGGCCTCAGTGGAAACTCCCCCCCCCTCCCTTTCTGTTGCCCGGGCTGCGCCGGGCTATTTATACAGCTTGGCGCTGCCGTCACGGAGAGCCGTTTCGCTGACGAGGGATTGACGCTCTTGGCTGCCGGAGCCGCGCTTGCGGTTACAATGGGCGCTTTGTGTGAAGCGACTCGGGGGCTCGGAAGAAACGGCGGGGAAGGAAGGCCGTCGCCCTTGGGCCGCCCGTTGGCACCCCGGAATCTTCCTCCGAAGAGGCGCCGCGGCGAGAGCCCCCCCCCCCCTGGAGGTAGCCGCTTGCCTCTGAGGCGAAAGGTTGCGGCCCGGGAAGGAGTTTAGCGACTGGTTTAAGAGAAGAAATGGGGCGCGGGAAGCGGGCATTGACCAGACAAGCCCGGGCTTCTGGCGGAGCCCAGGAAAAGGTAACAATCACTATTATCATCATCATCCATTCACAAACAATGTGAAGTCGCAGCTGCCAAATTCTGTAGCCGGCGTTGGCCTTCTTCGCGCGCTCCCGAGTTCTTCCCAAGAACCGAGATTGTCGTAATGGAGCGGCGTAGCGTATGTGCGGCTATTATTATTTACTATTAGTGTGTGGGCGGAGGCGGGGAGGCGCACCCTCCAGCAAGCTGCAGGAAGCCCGCGCTTCCGGAAAAGTAAGTTCTTCGTTTGAACCCAGTCTCGTGGGGGGGGGAGGAGGAGGAGGAGGAGGAGCTTCTCACCTTTGTCCCCGCCCCTAAATGAACCCGCTGTTTCTAGCTCGAGAAGACCTCAGGGGGCGGGAAAGGAGCTCTTTCTACTACGCCTTTGGAAGCTTCCGGGGAAAAAAAAAAGCCTTCAGGAACTGCAGCGTCGTGGTGGAAGCTTTACGGATCTTTTTCCTCAGTACGTGTGTTCATCAATCCGTGCTTTTTTTTTTTAAACAGCAAATTTTTCCTGTAAAAATCTCGCCTAATAATACCACCCCCTGCTCCCTCTCCCTTTTAATCAATCCCCTCGTTATGCCTTGCAGACGGAGAAAACGGGTCTTATCTGCTGACAGTGAAAATCTCTCTCTCTTTTTTTTTTTTCTTCATTTAGTTGACAATAGCTTTCAGCGCAGCTGGATTTCCACTAGGTGCAGATGTTGCTAATGGCAGCTTAAGCATGGATGGGCAGATAACATATGGAATGCAACATGTTGCCATATGGTCCCTTTAGCCTTTCACCTCCAAGAATATCAATCAAATATATTCGGGGGGGGAGGAAATTTAATGACTCTGAACAAGAAGATGAATTGCATTGGACAATTTATATTCCTTGACCTGAGACTTTTAAAATCAGTAAGGTGGCAATCCTATGCACACGTACCCGGGAAGTAAATGTGATTGCACTGAATGGGGATGGATTGTGGGGAAATACGTATAGTATTGAACAGAGTGGATCTTACAGTATGCCTAGTAAGAATGAGAGCAAAATGCAGAAGGACTTCAAAAGGTGTAAACATCTATTTGTCAGCTAGGATCCTGGAAACTGTCAAAGATGTTATATGGCCTAGTCCCCTTAATATAACCTGACGGACAAAGAAGAATTACATGTATTTAAAATTACAATATCTTATTAAAATATTAACATCACATTCAATTTCTCTGTGTTTATACTTTACATTTTTTTCTGTCCCAGAAAATGAGGTAAATGTTTAGTAAAAGCTGAAGGAAGCTAATTGTGTTTTGTTGTCTTTTAAGGTTACATTTTCACATGATTTTTTAAAAAGCATATTTATCTCAATTACCTAATCAGACTCCATAACAATTATAGAAAAGGATTATTTATCCTCTTTTGAAATATATTTATACCTTAGCAATTCATATTTATTTGTTAGCAGAGATACCATTATGTAAAATATTAAAAACCTTATATATAATATTTTCTTTGGGGTTGGTTTCAGATTCTTGTTGGTGGATTAGTTCCAAAAGTAATAGAATACATTCACTGAAATCAATGAAACAACATGACAAAGTCCCATAGATTTAATAAGGTTAATCTTAACTGAGAAATTTGAAATCAAACTGATGGGTGTAGAATAGCATTCTTTATGTTTGAAACATGCATTTCTAGGAGGGAAATCCTGTTGAATTTTACAGAGTTGACTTCAGAATAAACATGCATAGTCCTTAAAATAGTATTTTTAAGGGATTTGTCTTTATCATTCTTGCCTGCCTCAGGTTCTGCATTCTGAACTACCTTAGAAAAATGCTGTTTTTACATAAAGGCTTTACAGAGCTCATATTTAATGGAAAGTACTATAATGTGTTTAGATATTGGACATTGCTTCTAAATTCTGCAGTTTTCCATAATTTCCGATTCTGACATAAAAGAGGCAGAAAATATTTCAAGATTTTTTTAACCCTATCTTGTTGCCCACTTTTTATTTATAGTTTCAGAACATATGCTTCTCCCTTATATCTAATTATTGTTCACAAACTATAGATGCAATCCAGTCTAATAATTTATTAAGGAGAGATTTAATAAGAAAGAAAAAAGGTTTCACTTTTGAATCCTATTACAGTATTTTATTTCTGCAACGGACTGGATGAAGCTATCCTAGGCTGCAACTTCTAGGATTTAATCAGTTCTTTTTCCCCGAGTTTCTCTAGCATTTGATTTTTTTTGGAGATGAGCATATAATCATTCCAAATCGCTACCATTTATATAATGAACTATCAAAAGAATGATTTAACATCAATGGATATAAAAATGGAGGTAATTTTGCCTTTAGTTTAAAATTTAAAACAGCAGTCTAAAGCTGCCTATAGGCAGGTGCACATGCAAGGGAGCATCTCTAGACAAGATACTTCCAGAGTCAATATATCTTACAATGCATGTGTAATCTTAGTCCAGTATTTCCCCATCCCACCACACATGCCCTTTGCAATTACAAAAGAGTGGCAGGGGGAGCATGTTGTAGTAGGTTGGAACTTTAAAAACCTTTCCTTCTCAACTTCTGCTAGTATAAAATACCCTTCCAGAAAGTAGTTTTTTATAGAGAACTCTTATACACTAATGTTACCTATACCAGCAGTGTAATGTGTAGTTTAGCTAAGTGAATATTATTGAGTTTTCTATTAATTGAGAAAGCATTTTCACTATCCATCTGAACCTTAATATAGGCCCTTTAAGAAGCTCTGATACATTGTCTGCTGTTAGAAGTAAATATTTTGCATATAAACAATGCAGAAACATTTCCCATATTGGATTTTATTATAAGGGATGACATGGAAAATATTATGTTAATTTGAAGATTTCTCTTATTCTCTAAATAGGAATCATTTTGGGGCCATTAAAGAATAGAAACTAGTTAGAAACAATGCCCTGAGTGAAATGTATTTTAATATGGATCTTCTAAAATGTGACTTCCACTGGCTCAGAATATTCATCATTCACCTTTTCATGTGCTCAATTGTCCCTAAATACTACTGCTGATAACACAAGGACATATGCCTTTCATCACAAAGGCAAACATACAATACATACTTTATTCTATGGACTCTAATATTTTTGTGTAAATATTACTCTGGCTTTATTGCAGTTGCTGCCTTCTTGATATTAATATTTTGACACTCTTTTTTCTTATATATTCCTAATTATAGGTGACCATTATGTTTTAAGAACAAAAAATTGAAGGGCTTTCCCTCAAAACAATTCACTAGATTAACATTATTTTTAATCTTCCAAATTAATGTGTTCTGAAACATACTTTGCTGGGATACTGTTAGGTTACAAGGGTGCAGGTGGTCCTCAACGTACAATGGCATTTGAGACCAAAATTGGACTTGGCAACCAGAATTCCAGACACTGTCAGTTTGAAGATGGATATGTTTTTTGCACGTAATTCTATAAAATGTCAAATTGCTTTTCCTTTATAATTCCAGTTCTAGAGAGTGAATCTCTTACACTGAATTCTGTGTACAGCTATTTAGGTATCAAAAGGCATGATTTTGTTACATCTATAAAAACTGTTTGCATTCATTTAACGTAGATGTCTTTTTGAAGCATGGAGCCATGGATGTTTGTTCTCTCTCTTCTTTTTTTCACATCATTACTCTGATACTGCTTGATTAGCTCCCTCCCCAGTCATGATTGGTAATTAAAATAGGCATTAAAATTAGTCACTTAGCAATTTTGCTGTTCAATTGGCAATTAAATTACTTAATTGCAATTAAAGTCCTAATTTTAATTGGCAAAATGATAGATGTAGATTTAAGATAATATGTATAAATACTTTAATAAGTGTCTATATAAGGATTACTTAATTACTCAACTTGAAGTTTATGTTGTTAACTTCAAAACTTTAAAATGAGCAATGAAATTTTATATTACATGGATTCTAAAGCTATGATAATTAGATATGTACCTAACAATATAAGGGCCCAACTATGTTACTTCTATAATGTTGCAAATATAGCATGGGAAACCTTTTATAATAATCAACAAAGCATGTTGCTTATTTTAAAAGCACCATTTAAATCAATAAATCATACTCAAAAGTAAAAATGTCTTGGGGGGATTATGCAAATAATAGGGTAAAAGAGAGTTACTAAAACATGAGGGAAGTATTACTTTTGTCAAGAACTGTAAATAAAATAATATTCATGCATAAAGCTTTTTTGTAATTAACATTCATTCCATATTGAAATGTTGGCATCAGCAGAAATTGCAACTAATATTTAAACCTAAATCCTATAAACGTATTGTGTCTTTGGACGAACGGATAGAAAAATAAGAACTCTTGTATCTTTGATTAATTGCCCTAAACGGCATTCTGGCAGATTTATCATGGTATTTGGGGAGAGGGTAAAAAAGCACATAGTTAAATTCTTTTTTCAACTATTAATAGTCCAAGAACATTTTTTCCCATTTCCCCTTGTGCACCTAACCTCCCTTGAAAGCATACTTTATCAATGTTAGTTTTCAGTTCTCATCAATATGGTTTTCAGAAAAAAAGACAGGAAAGTTACTCCATTGTAGGTTAAAATACAGACACATGTTTTCTAAAAACTAAAATTATTTGTTATTGCTAACACAAACATATTATGATGTAATTTTCTTTTTATAGGCCATTATCACAGCCTTTCCGGTTTGATTTTGTTATCTATCTTGAAATTTTCTTCATGCAAGATCCTGGGGGAAAGCTCATAACTGGGAGTGCATCTTAAATTGACAATCAATATTCTCAGCTCTAATATGGGTAAGGTTACCTACGCCATTTCTTCTGAAACAACATTTGAAGACTCTTTTTTTTCATTTTCAGAACACTTAGAATCAGTTTGCATTAAACTAAGAGAAATTACTTGTTTATTTTGAACGTTACAAACAAAAATAATAATTATTTATGACAACAAGCTGCATCATCCGTACTTTCATTTATTCTTGGTATATAAATTAACTTGGTTGGTGTGAGAAGTAGCGTTTTATTCATTTTGATATATTCCTAATCATAGTATTTCCCATGTACTAGAAATAAAAATCTCTGTGCCTCAAGCCTGTACTCATTGTCTTTTTAGTTAAATTCTTGAAATAACACAGACAAATAAATGTGCTTAGATCTCCAATATAAGAAATTAATTTGCTGCCCATGTTGTAAGTAAATGTGTTCACATGCAGGATTCAATCCTAATTCCAGAAGTATTGTTAAATTATTATGAGCACTGTGTTTTTATATAATACTTTTCATTTAGACTTCCCTGTAGCCACTTACATGAAAGTTTTTGAACTTAATATGATTTAGCACTGCATAAACATAGAGTAGTGCTTTTATGTATTTTATCACATTCCCTTTTATAAGCTACAGATTTTATAATATAAAGCTTTGTAATGTTACAGAAGAGCCAGTTTGGTGTAGCGGTTAAGGCATCAGACTAGAAGCTGGAGGTGGTGAGTTCTAGTCCCACCTTAGGCAAAAGCCAACTGGTGGAGCTTGGACCAGTCACTCTTTCTCTGCCCTAGGAAAGAGACAATAGCAAACCACTTTTGAGGCAGTCTCTGAGAGTTAGACATGATTGAAGAGAAGAAAAAAAATGCTATGCAGTGTTTTAAATTATGCAGGGCACCATTTAGTATTTGACAGAGAATCTGACCACAGAATCCCCCTCTGATTTTTTTAAAGGGAGACTGTAATTTAAAAACAACTCTTATGACATAAGGAACATATTTCCCACTTAGCGATCTGCTGCAAGTAAATGTGCAAGTAACTTATATATCAATCGAGGTATAAACTTAGCAACGAGAATAGAATAATTTTCTTATCCTCCTAAACTTGTTTAAATAAAACATAAACACAGAGGGATAACTTTTATTCATTTGTGAATCAATCTTGAATATTAATATTTTTAACTGTAATTAATTTCCTATTTTTAAAAATGTATGTGTGTATATGTTTGTGTGTGTACATATATATATGGGAGTGAAGTTAAGATGCTTACATAAATGTATAGAGTCTAAATTCCATAGCCACACTAATTCTTATGTGTGTAGCATCCCTAAGGATTTAGAAAAAAATATATAAAGGAATTAAAAAGCCATAATGTCTATCACTAGCATTCATGATGTAATATAGAAAAATAACATTATTTCAAGTACTTATATAGAAAAGATTTTTAATAGGATGTCACTTCCTTGAAATAAATAGAAACAGCTGGTCCTCTTAAAGCATACAACTATTTGGGGGCAAGCTATACAATACATTATTTTGCACATTGAAATGAAATTGTGGTTAATGGCAAAGGAAATGTCTACTGCAGGGGTGTCAAACTGCTGGCTGGATGCATCATGGCGAAACTGTGCCCACCCCATTGCCGGCAATGGAAAAAAAGTTGCGATACGGCATGTGACGTGAGTTTGATACCCCTGGTCTACTGACTTGAGGAATCAAACCTGAATATTGAAGATAGGGGATTTTACATATCTAAACTGCCTTCAACAAATTATTGGAAATGATTACGCATTTATTTTAGAAAATACATACAAGTTTTACCAATATTACTTCAAATGTTCTTGGTTATGTTGACTACACAGTCCAGTCCCCTATTGACATGTTCGGGGAAAATGCAATACTAAATGATTCTAATTGGGCAATTTCAGAAGAGCTTTAGACTAATATAAAAGGATTGGGCTGTTTAGTTTTCATTCTTTTATAGTTCATGCTGTCCAAATTAATACTGCCTTTTTAAAGCAAAAATATTTAAAGTCTCAAAAATACACTCCATTATTTGGGCAATTATCAGAACAGGAGACCCATTAGGGATGGCCTTGATCCATATGTGGAAGTTATTTGGGCCTCAAGGCAACCTCTTGGCTGGGCAACAGAAAACCAGATGACCACAAGATGGCATCAAAGAAACACTGAAAAACTATTTGCTGCCGCCTAGTGATCCTCCCAGTACTGTACTTGCAGGTAGGCAGAGAGGAAAGGCCACCCAGCAAATCTCCTGAGGCTTGCAGGGCTCCCTTGCCACCTGATGCAGGAGTGAGGCCGGGTGGAGGTAAAAGCAGAACCCCTGCCTTTTGCTTCACCCCTTCCTGTTTGTAGCCCTGTTCTTGGGTTACGTTGTGTGCTAAAATCCGTGCCACTCAGCGGAGAGAGACAGGCAGATCGATGGGCTGCCATCTAGTGGTCGCCCGTACTTTTGCAGCCCAGATGTAGCGGCCTTATCCCAGGACGGTCCGGAGCTTTCAAGGCGCGGGCGGCAAAGGAGAGCTGGGGGTCACCTTGCCTGCGGACCCCAAGGCAGCTAGCTGCCTTCCCTGCCTTTCCTCTCCATCGGTGCACAGTATATTTTATGTCAGCCTGACTTTCCTTTGCAAAACAAAAAGTGATGGGTCAAGCGAGAGAGAAAGTTATTTGCGAACTCCTCTTTTCGGAACCGTCCCTCACACCCACGCTTATTAAATATACCAATATACTATACTATAGTATACTAATATACTATACTATTAAAAGTATGTAGTACTCTAAACAGGACTACATACTTTTCTTACACGGGCTTTGGCAGTATTAACAAAGGGGGAAGCGAGCCAGCGCTGCCCGTGGGTGCCCAAACCCTTCTTCTTTGGAGCAGCTTCAGTAGAGCGAGAGAGAAGAAAGTTTTCAACCTCGAAACACAGCGCCCAGGAAAAAAAAAAGGTTTAAAAATAACCCCCCCACTTTTGGCTGCTTTCGAGTTTCCGATTCGCAGAGCCTTAAAATAGCCCGGCCCACTCTCAGGCTGTTGCTTCCCGCTCTCTCAGCGCAATGGAGCAGGCACCGACGGGGCAAGCTGGGCGCCGCGGTTGCTATTTTTGGAGCATCCCGAGCCTGTTGCGTCAATGGCACCGTCCCCTTGCGTCACGCGCCACCCCGCCCCTCTCCCGCCTTCCCTCCTCCCAACGCTCACTTTTTCCTTTTCGTGCGCTTCAGCCCACGGGCGGCGGCGGCGGCTGACGCGGCTGCGCTCATGCAAATGAGCTCGCGCTCTCCTCCTCCCAGCCCTCTGGGCTGCCTCGCGCCAGGGCCAGCAGCCGGAGGAGGAGGAGGAGGAGGAGGAGGACTTAAGGTGGCGGCTCAGGGTTCTTCCCGCCTCCGTTTCCAACCTTTTGTCCCCAAAAACCCTCCCTCTATTTATAGGATTCCTAAAAATAGCTCGCGGGGGGGAGGGGGAGGGGGAGGGAAGTTTCCTGTCTGGGAGGGAATCCCATTGACTCAAGGGTTCTTCGAAAGTTCAGGAAAGGAAGGAGACGTTTTGAGGGAGAGGTGGAAATCCTAAAGGATTGGCCAACTTGCAAAGAGAAGCGCAACTCTTCCGAATTCCCGGAAGGGGAGCTAAGGGGGAGCCAGAGAGCGCTAACTGCCCCCCAAATAAATTCGGAGATAGACGCCCCCCCCTTTAAGTCTGTGCTGACTTGGAAACAAGCCCTGGGGAGATGAGTGGGGTTTACTTTCGGATCAACCTGCACAGGATCTACCTTCGCGGGATCACTATGGGAAGTGGGGTGGGGTGTAGCGAGCAGTCCTAAACCTGTGGCGTGCGTGCCCCATTAACCCCAGTGGTGGCGCTGACTTCAAAGGAGACGTCCATAAGGTTGCTGAACATCTACTCGCCTTCTTAAGTTACCTTCCGTGTCCTCAGTTAATCTTTATGTCCCTTCACCTGCAAGATCTCAATTCGGGCAGCCAAAGCAAGTTCAGTTGAGGGGGGGGGAGGACGCAAATGTTCTCCTCTAAAAAGGCTGAGGGTGGGCACGCGGGGGGGGGCGGGCAAGGGAACAGCAAACGCGCGCCTGCCTAAAGCCCCCTAACCCTCAGGCCGTTGGGAAGGATCGCGGGAACACGCACCCCCATTTCTTATCTTCAGCGCCCGCTGGTTCGTCGATTACCTGAGTGGGTTGCAACCTCCACGCTATTTTTCTGGCAAACACGCAGGAAGCAGAAGATAAGCAGGCATTCCGGCGACGTTTCCCACTGACACAGCAAGGGATCCTTGGAGCTGCGCTGCTTTTCCTGCCCATCTACACGGAAGTAACTCCCACTGGTTCCGCTGAGGGTTCACCCCAGATCAGAGCACTCGGAGCAGTAGTAGGACTAAGCGATTCCTTCAGGGCTGCAACGATTCTGACCCACGCGCACGCCTTGGACTTTGACCATGAACCTGTTTCCTACTCAACTGCAGAAACTCAACTGCAGAAACGGGACTGTATACAATTCGGTTGTAATGCCTATAAGGTGACAAAATACTAACGTTTAGAATCTAATTTACATACTGTATTTGTCCTGAGGGCGCGCGCGCGCTCACACACAAACACACACACACACACACACACACACACACAGTGTTTTCCCTTCCAACTATAATAGCTTCCGTGGGCGTTTTTTTTTTTTTGTTAAGCAGTTGCAGAGCAACGGAGGGAGAGGGGGGAGGCGAGAGAAGTATGCTTCGGGACGTAAATCGGGCTGGGAACGATTGTGCAACTTGTTGAATGCGTTGTCTCTGCTTTAAAAGGATGGACTGGGTGCGTCAATACATTCCTGCCTTTTTACCTGTAAAATGCGCCTTGCTGCAGAGAATGCCGCCGAGATAAGGCGGTACTTGGGGAGGGGCGGCTAAGAAGTCTCCATTCTAGACCGATTTTAAGATAGGGCGGACATCATCCCACGTAAGTTGCCAGGGACTACTGTAACGTTCGCTCTGAAAGCGAACATACCTGGAAAACACACACACACACACACACCTGTTCCGCGTGAGGAGAAAGTATAATGTGGAAAAAAAAAGATACTCGGGGAGAGGGAGGCAGAGCGCGCGGCGGATTGACAGCGCCTGGAGATTCTTGGACCAATTTATGACAACAGGGGGGGGGGGGGGGGGGGGGGGGGGGGGGAGAGAAAGGGGGAGTATTCAGGCTTTGTTTACAGTTCCCGGATCTCCGGCTGCACCAGCCCAGACCAGGGAGAGGGGAAGCGAAAGGGCCGAGGGTCTGCCCCTCATTTGGCAAAAGCTGCGCCGAGGGTGAAGGCAGGCGGCGGCGAGAGCCGTTTTTCCCACCTTAAAAGCGCCACTCTTGGTGATGTCACGTCGGAAATTTACCAAAGCCAGATCTAGCCAACTGTACCGAAGAGATCCAGCCCCTTGACTGGCTGATTGGGCAGGCGGCACTGACGTGCACTGACGCTTTGAGTCTTGAGGGGCATTTGGCTGTGCAATACGGAGCCCACATAAACAAAGGCACATTGGAGGGAAGGGCCAGTCGGTCCTGCTTGCTCGCCCCGCGCTTCGCTCCTACTGTGCTTCCCCAAGGAGCGCTGGAAGGAAGAGGAGCGCGTGTCCGCGCGCTGGCAGCGAAAGGCGAAACGCAAAGCGAGAACGGAGCGCTTGGCGGCGAGAAGCGCCTCTCCGCTTCCTCCCTTCGCCCGCCTGCCTGCCCGCCCGGCCGCCCTGGGAATCCGAACTGCCAACAGTTGAATGAATGAATGAATAAATGAATGAATGAAAGAGACACGCCACCTAACAAGTAAGTGGATCGCGCCGCTGACTGGGACGGAGGATGTTGTCTGTCTTTTGCTTGGGTGATGCAACGTTTTTTTTTCCCCCCTCTTTAGGCAAAGCAAAGTAGCCCGGAGATGGGGTGGCATGGGTGGGATGAGCTGGGGGGTGGGGGTGGGATTGGGACCGGGGAAGGTCGCGGTTGCCTGATATAAAAATCTTAACCCC